AATTTGGCAGTATATTTTGGTACCTAAAAATCGTCAAAACATAACAAGTCCTCAAAAAATTACAACAAGTTTAAGTAATAAGTGAAAATTAGTAGAGGCACTAAAAGAAATATTTCATACCCTTGAGGTGAGCTATTTCGACATTGAATTAGTTAACGTCAAAATAAAATTAATTTAAATTGTTTGTTTTCCATTTTGTTTTGAATTAGGTTGCCGGTAGGTATAGCGAAACGATTACGTAATCGCCACGTAACTGCTTGGGCGCTCGAAGGCCGCAGGTTAAGCTAGATGAGTAATCGAGAGGTCACTGGTGTTCTCCTTAGGTTTATACAAAATCATCATTAAAATGGGTTATTTAATAAAAAACACCGACAGTGGAAAAAATTACTAAAAGTTTTATTAGAATTTAGAAGCCTCATATGAACACTTATATTATTGACCCGTAATACATTTTTAAATAAGTTCATGTCATTTAAAAACTTAAAATGCTAACAAAAACGATTCTAAAAATGTCAATTTCTTGTAGGTATGTAAAGAGTTTTTGTTCAAAAGTTGTATTTTGGCGACTGCGCTGGTTAATATGTCGATATTAGGAATTTTATATTCCAATTTACTACATCTGGAACATTGCCAATAATTTGACTATAAACACTTTTATCGCATAAACCAAGTACTAAAAAACTAATTTTTAAAATTTCCTTGAACCCAATTAAGGAGTTAATGTTTTTTTTTAATTTTATGATATTTTACAAGTTTTACGGAAATTTTTTCGAGAATTATTTGTTTATAGGTACTTTTTATGAAGGTTATGTAGATACAACATAATATTTGTTTAGCTATATTTAGTTGACTCTTAAAATATTTATAATTGCTATAAATAATAATAAGTAATTTTATCATTGGACGTTTGAAATTTTGTGTTCTGAATAATGCTATTTAAATATATTATTCAACACCCGCAAGGAATATGTAATTTTATGGCCCTGATGACAGTGGGCGAAATAATTAATTCCCTTATAATTATGTGTTAAAAATATTTTTTTAAATTTAAAATATTCTTTTTAATATAACTATCCCACGGTATTAAATCTAATCAATTACGTTGTTTGTGCTATATTAAATTAAAATTAAAATCAAGATTTCGTAATTATATTTTAAATAGTTTTAAAATAATTTAATTTTTAATTAACTTTAACAAGATTTTAATTATTTAAACCCCAATAAAATTGCCGCCACTGGCCCATTTGAATTAAATTTTAATTATTAAAATACATAATATTATGTTGATGGTTTTTTTAAATAAATTTTTTTGGTTCATTTTGCCATTTCGTGCTCTTGAGCGGTTGCAGAAATATCATATACATATTATTTACACAAAGGGCGAGCACACATAAGTTGAAACGGTTTGTAGATCTTCAGACATGATTTTTTTTGAAATTTCGTGTGTAGAACAGGACAAAATCGGCATTTTTTCGGTCATGGGATTCCAACTTTGTGAACAAAATAAAAAAACAAACGCATTAATTGATTATAGGTATAATTATTACAGAAGATTTATTTAGTGTTTGTTTGGTTGTAACAATATTAATAAAAATAACACTATAAATATAATAATAAATGGTACCTTCTAATAAGGATTTTTTTTGTACAAATCAAAATCAGTGACGGAGTTAAAATTCATTTTATTTTTAGTAAAATTAACATTATAATATTAAAATTAAAACTGTATCTCTATATTTTCGTAGTATCAGTAGTATAATTATACTACTGATACTACGAAAATATCACTTTTCAAATAAACCAATAACGCTTGTGCTATATATAAATATTTGTTTGAAACTATTTCTAGCGTTTTTCGTTAACATTTGCGACATGTAGTTCGGTGGCGCCCGAATTGTCAAATTTAATATTTAATTAATTTATTTAAATAAAAAATAACCCCATAACGAAAATAACATATTTGGTGAAAAAAATTCTCAGCTTTCAGAAAAAACTTTAAATTAATATGGCCGTAAGGCCAGAAAAATCTCCTTTTTCAATTTATTTGAATTTTTGAGGGTCTTGTAAAGCTGAGAATTTTTTACAAAAAAAATATTATTAATATTTTTAAAAATAAGGTTTCTACTGAAAAAAATAACAAAAAGTTAAAAATAAAATGTTGCCAAATTTCGAAAAATCATTACTATATAGTACTATAACTAATTTTTGATGTGGAGTCACTCCACAATTTTTTAAAAAATCCGCAGGGTTCACTCCACAGACCTGTGGGTCACACCAAAACAAAATTTATTTGGCGAAATGAACCATATGCATTTATTATAATATTCAGAAATACGTATTCGTACATTAAGTTTTGACTAAAATTGCCAGATTAAAATTATTTCGTGATGTAACATACGAGGTGTGTTCAGAAAATATCGGGAATGTTCGTTTTTTGAAACAAATATTTATTTATTCGTCTACATTAATGTTGTCGCCTTCAAAATAGTCCCTATTGGATATTATGCACATGTGCCAGCTCTTCTTCCAATACTCGTAACACTTCTAAAACTCGATCTTTGGGATAGCCTTTAGTTCTTTCAGCGATGCTCTTTTAATGTCATCTATGCTTGCAAAACGACGGCCCTTTAAGGTTCTCTTTATTTTTGGGAATAGGAAAAAGTCAGACAGAGGCATTTCTGGCGAATATCGAGGCTGGGGCATCATTACAGTATTGGTTTTGGCCAAAAATTTTGTTCAAAATTTAACAATTTTAGAACAAATTTTGCTGCCACGCGTTTCATACCCAAAACATTCGAAAAAATTTCATGGGATGAGCCAATCGATATACCAACATCATCAGCGACTTCTCTGATGGTTTATAACCATTTCTTACACTTTTTCCATGTTTTTATCGGTTGTTAATGTGCTTGTGCGTTCTGGGCGTACGTCATCTTCACGGCCATCTTGGAAAATCTTATACCACTTGTAAACTCTTGTTTTACTTATAGCAGAATTAATTTAATTTTTTAAGCAAAATTGGATACAAATTCTTTGATCCATTTCTTTTAACGAACGAAAAATCGCCGAGCTCATAAAACACGTCTAACCTTAGCGGATGCCACAGACAAAGTAAACAATGAAAACAGCTAAAGTTTTTATCATACTTCGGGGGCATGTATACCAACATAATAAAGAAAATTTTATGACAACCGGACTCTCCGAACCCGCGAAATTTAACAATTCCCGTTATTTTCTGAACACACCTCGTATGTAATATGTACAAGTATAATAAAAAAACGCACATTCTTTCTACTTATAATAAGTTAAATTATCTAAAAAATCTGACGTGATGGAGCTATTCTGAGGCTTCGGAACAAAATCCTTAGTCGCACAATATACAGGGTGATCCTCTATAATGTGGCCCCCCTTTAACTTTTTTATTTTAAGTGTCCCAAAAAATTTAAAAGTGTGGTTATGTAGGTACTGAAAAATATTTTTTTCTACTTATAAAAAAAAATTAAAAATTGTTCAGTATACAGGGAAAAACAAAAAGTTTATTTTTTTTTTCAATGGATCACCCAACCCTAACATTCTAAGCATATTTCATATAACATACCATATACCTTAATTCAACCGTTCAAATATTTAAATTATTTTTAAGTTGAAATATTGTCTTTCTCTGTCTGAGTACGCCATTTTTACTTATTTTTTATTTTATTTTCAATAAACATTTTGGTATACTGAGGCTTCTTGATTTCCAACAGTTTAAAAAAACATTTAATGATAACATTTCGAATGCTAATATTTCAGAAACGGTCGAATTTAGGTATATGGTTTCTTATATGAATTATGCTCAGAATTTTACAAGGAATCGAAAAATAAATTCATATACAGGGTGTTTCTTTTAACTTGAGACAGCTCAATATCTCGAGAAATACGCATTTCACGGAAAAATGTCTTAAATAAAAGGTTAATTTGGCCAAAGGGGACATTATTTGGTGCTACCGCTAGCCACCCCCTACCCCTCCTTAAGGGTGAAACGGGGGGTAACTTTGGAAAGTCAAATGGTATGACCCGATTTTTTTCACAGATTTTGGTAGTACATACAAAAATGAAAAACTTTTAATTGAAACTTTTTTTTCAATTTATTAACAGATGGCGCTGTAACACAACAACAATAGTCGGCTCTGAAAACAATTTATAACAAATGTTCGAAATGTCGTCCTTCCATTTCGACACATTTGATAAACAATCACGTAAACAATCGATTGATTTTTGCTATGAAATGAAAAACGTTTATTCAAAACGTTTTTTAAAGTTATTATTATTCGACAATTGGATCGGTAGACGTGGTCCAGTAAGTTGGTCTGCTCGATCACCTGATTATACGCCACCAGACTTCTTCTTGTGGGGTTACTTGAAAGAAAAAGTTTACTCTGCAATTCCTACAACTCGGGAGGAAGTGGTGGAGCGGATCAGGAACGCCTGTGCGGCGATACCGCCCGACATGTTGGCGCGTTGTGTGCCAGAATTCATTACCCGCATTCAAAAATGTGTCAAAATGGAAGGAAGACATTTCGAACATTTGTTATAAATTGTTTTCAGAGCCGACTATTGTTGATTTTATGTTAATTTTTGTTTTTCAAACGTTTCAAATAATACATTTTACAAGGAAACCAATTTTTCTTAAATTTTGAGTTACAGCGCCATCTGTTGATAAATTGAAAAAAATCATCCCATTTGACTTTCCAAAGTTACCCCCCGTTTTACCCCTAAGGAGGGGTAGGGGGTGGCTGGCGGTAGCACCAAATAATGTCCCCTTTGGTCACATTAACTTTTAAATTAAAACATTTTTTTTTGTTAAATGCGTATTTCTCAAGATATTGAGCTGTCTCAAGTTAAAACAAACACCCTGTATAGGGTGGTCCATTGAAAAAAAATTAAGAGCAATTTTGTATTTTTTCGTTTTTAAATTTCATAATAGAGCTCGCTAACATTTTTTCTCTTCCTTTTTTTAGTGCACACCAACCGTGTACCCAGCCGATCCCTTCGACCCCGTGGCCGATGCCACCACGCTTAAGAAGGCCATGAAGGGCTTCGGCGCCGACGAGAAAGCCATCATCGACGTGCTGGCACGCAGAGGCATCGTCCAGCGTCTCGAGATCGCCGAAACCTTCAAGACCTCCTTCGGCAAAGACCTCATCTCCGAACTCAAGAGCGAGTTGGGCGGCAAATTCGAAGACGTCATGGTCGCCTTGATGACACCACTTCCACAATTCTATGCCAAAGAACTTCACGACGCCGTCGCAGGAGTGGGGACCGATGAAGAGGCCATCATCGAGATCCTGTGCACTTTGAGCAACTATGGTATCCGCACCATTGCCCAATTTTATGAACAAAGTAAGTTGGTTAACATCATACAAAATATAATATTCCTATAAAGTACAGGCGAGGCAAATTTGAAGCTCAAATTTAATTACATTAATAACTTAAGTCGTATAAATACAGTTAATCCTTATAAGATATCCATAAGATATCTTATTTTAGATATAAATTAAACATTTCAAAAAAGAGGGCTAAAATAGGCCTTGAAAATATTAACTTTATTAACTTAATATGTTAATAATAATAGATATTGTTAAACATAATTGTTACAAAAAAACCTAAAAATTTAATTTAATACCAAAGTTACGCACGCTCGCTAACTTTAAATACCGGTACACGGAGAAAATAAAACAGTAACCATTCTCTCTAAAAATGAATTAGTCAAAAATGACTAATTTAATAGTTATTAGTGGCTGCTTTTTCACTTGAACCATGGTTAACCATGGGATACCATGGTATCCCAAAATTTAACAGCCAATTCTTATATAAAATTGTCCCCTTAATCCAAAAATGTCGTCAAAAGTTAAAGAAGTAGAACAGTTTTTGAGATATAGTCAATTTTCCATTTAATACGGAATTGACTATATCTCAAAAACTGCTCAACTTTAATAAATTTTGACGGTATTTTCGAATTCAGGGGACAATTTTGCATAAGAATTAACTGTTAAATTTTGGAATACCATGGTATTCCATGGTTAACCAGGGTACAGGTGAAAAATCAGCCACTAATTACTATTGAATTAGTCATTTTTGACTAATTCATTTTTAGAGAGTTGATGTGTAGAACAGTAGGTAATCCACTTATTTTCAATTCAAAATAATATCTATAATTAATGTGCAGAAAATTTATCACTACGGTATATACACATAAAAAAATCTAACATAGTACCAAGAACAGCGCTGTCATTGAATGCATTAAAATTGAAGCAATCTAAATTGTTATTTGCTCAATTAATTACTATTAAACCAAAATAGGAAAACATTTTGCCTAAATATCAAAGAATTTATTGCGTTAAATGTATACATAGTATACATACTATAGTAACGGTATTAAATAAATTAAATAAATCAAATTAGTATTTAATGCAATAACATTCTAACAAATAAATATCAATAGATTTAGGAGCGATAACTTTTGTTGTTAATTTAAAAACAGTAAAGTGCTAACTACCTATTGGTATTATAGGAACTGTTATTCAGGAATACGGATTACAAGATCCCATTGGTTTAATGGCTCACCCATTCATGCTATGCTAGCGTTTTTTCTGTGTATTATAGTAAACTCTATATATACAGCCCGTTCAGAATAAAACCGAATATATCTATATATATATATGGGGCGTGGCCTCGCCTCCCTCCAACGCCCGACACAGTAGCTAAGCAAATAGCCTGCATCGCTAATGAGATTTTTTGCATTATTATCATTTAATTTTTTAAGTCCTAACCTACTCGACCTTTCGTCATGTCGCTTATCACACAAGCTACTGTGACGCGCCTTGGAGTGAGGCGAGGCCACGCCCCATATATATATATATAGATATATTCGGTTTTACTCTGAACAAGCTGTATATATATATATACTATAGTACATAGTACAGTTCCTGACACTACTTATTGATGTCACAAAAAAAAACTATTGGTGTTGTCAAAGTAACCCCCAATGTTTTATTAGAAATTTCTAATAAAACATTGGGGGTTACTTTGACAACTCCAATAGTTTTTTTTTGTGACATCAACTAAATTTAAATGGTATACCTACCCTGTATACACTGACACTGACATTGACAATTTGTCAATGACAAGTTGATAAGTGTTCTGTGCATCAATGGTTAGTGTTTTGTAATTAATGGTTACTGTTTTATTTTCTCCGTGTAGGCTACAAATATTTAGATGAAGGTGTAGGTACGTCTAATGATAATAATTCATGACTTTTTGTTTCTTTTGTAAAACTACAATCTCATTAATACTTGTTTTTTGTACACCTGTTAAGTTAACAAAATAGCCTCACTTAAATATCTCTTCTAAATTTAAACATTTTACTATTTGCAATTAGGCCATATTTTTTACTCAAAAAACGACGACTACAATTATTTATAAAAACCTAACTTTAAAGTAAAAAGTTTGTTATAAAAAGTTTGTTATAATAGGGGCATGCACTTTACTTAAAAATAATATTTATCAATATAAGGTAAAACATCTTATTTATATTTTGAATAGCTAATTGTAAATTAATGTAAAATGTAGTTCGGTATTTAAAAAATCTTTTTTGTAAAGAATTCTCAGCTTTCAGAAAAAAATATCAAATTTAAAATTCAATTGGCTAAAAGGCCAGAAAAAGGGTCTTCTGCTATCAAGGCGCTACTTAAAAGCTGAGAATTTTTTACAAAAAATAATTTTTTAATTGTATTTTTAAAAATCATGTTTCTTACAAAAAAAAAATTAACAAAAAAGTTAAAAATAAAATATCTTTCAAATTCAAGAAAACATTACCATTAAGTACTTAATATTAAGAGCTTAACTCTTTAATGAGTCATTATTTTAATTTAGAGAATATCCCCACAAAATTTGAAAAAATCCGCGGGGGTCACACTAAAAAAAAAAATTAAGTGGAAGTTTATTAATTTTTTCGAATTCAAATAAATTTGACACTTCTTTTTCTGGAATAATAAATCAAAATGTAAATTAAAGTATGCTACATACTGTATCATACAGTTTGTATGCGAAATACTGTATGCACCATCATAAAACGGAAACGGAAATTACATCAAAATACCGATAACCTCGGTTTAATTATTTCTCACAAACAAAAATTTATTCAAATAACAGGTTTATGACAACACGGTTGGTACAGTCATAAACTTTTATTTAGCATTTATACCAGCAATGTTAAAAAAATAATAACAGTCCATAAGTCCTTCCACAAGATGGAAACTATTTAAATAGAATAAGTTTATTTTTAATCCTTGACTTGGTTAATAACTAAAAATGAGTATTACGTGGATTTCTATTTTTAGATTTTGGTAAGCCAAGGATGTAATTATGGCTATAAAATAGATTTTATTAAAACTTCAATGAAATGACAATTAACTCACGGTTTTAATTAATATAAGTGGGCGGAGTTTCGTTATTTTGTTTTCTAGGGACTGGTTGGTTTTACCGCCAGTGTGCGAAATTAAATATATATCTTTAAATTAAATATATGTCTTTAGGATTTTTTTCTGAGGAAAAACTGGAATTCTCATTTTCTAGTAGTTTCTATAACCAAAAGAACTTGATGAACGATTCTGTTGGTGTTTTTAACTATTTACTTAAATGCCCCAATTTTCTTTTAAACCAAAAATACTTTAAAATTAAATTGTTAGTTACAGATGATGTCATATGCATTTTTAGTATACTTACTTGTATACAAATTCCAATGCAAATATATTTAGGTATATGAATACGATTATGTAGTTAGATGACATATTTATTAATATTCAAACTGCAAATAAATAATATTTTTCTTTTTTTCAGTGTATGGCAAACCTCTAGAAAAAGACTTAAAAGGAGATACCTCAGGACACTTTAAAAGATTATGTGTCAGCTTAGTACAGGTAATGAAAATTAAATTAAAATAATGTTTTATTTTTTTGTATTTAAAATTAAATTATTCAAACACAATTTTCATAACTTTTTTGAGACCTTTGTTAAAAGGATTTTTTTTGTATTTTTGTTTCATATCATGTTTGCATGACCAGTGTTTTCTGTATAAATATTTTATAGATTGTTTTTATTTAAAAATAACTAATTAACATTTGGAACCTTACGCATTGTTTCTCAAGAAATCTTTAAGCCTGATTAAAATCTTAGGCCACGTTAAAAAACTAATTTCGGTTTGTTACAACACAGGTCAAGGCTATAAGTTCACCTTGAAAAACATAATACATTATAATTGGCCATTTGTTAAGGAATTTACACAAGTGATCTAATGAAACCTTTAATATATTTCCGTCCTATCATTACCTAATAAAACGACCTTTTTTCAAATTAACATTAAATGTTGCTAGTGTATGATCTAATAAAAACGTATTTTTTTTAGGCCAACCGTGACGAGAACCAAGGCGTAAACGAAAGCCAAGCGGCTGCCGATGCCGAGGCTTTGATCGAGGCTGGCGAATCCAAATGGGGAACCGAAGAGTCCATGTTCAACTCCATCCTTATCACCAGAAGCTACCAACAATTGAGAGCCACCTTCTCCGAGTACGAAAGGCTTTCCGGAAAGGACATCGAGTCAGCCATCAAAAAGGAATTCTCAGGGACCATCCAAAAGGGACTGTTAGGAATCGGTGAGTCTTTTAATAAAGTTTATTTATTTATTCACGGCTTGGTTAATGCTTAAAAACTGAATATTGGCAATAAATTTTAAAACTTGAATCCCAAAAAAACATTTTTATTATGTAGGTTTTATTTTAACCATTTCGTTGTATAGGTATACCTATTTGGTTTTATTGGGTGTATAAAATAGGCTGCAAATCCAATTAATTTTTTTTTCAAAATTGGTTGAACTTATTTTAAGCATATTCAAATCAATAAGTTTTTATAAAAAAAGCAACCGTAAAGTAAATTTAAAATATACATACTTATGACATTGAGTCCTTACTCAATGTATGGGCGAATTTTCGTTAAATGTACATTTTGTATATATATTTTGTCCAGGCAGGTCAATTTGATCAATTTTTTTCCTTTGTGATAGAACAGTGTAATAGACTGCAAAAAATTCTATAAGTTTATAAATAACAAAAATAAACTTTAAAGAAATAAAACTTATAGGGTTAATCTGAATTAGTGAAGGTCCTTCACTGAAGGAACACAAGGAAGAAATGAAACATTGTCCTCCTCGCATCTTCCTGAACGTTTTATGACACATTGCTTTTGACTTTTTCAGAAATACTGGTAAATATCTTTCGGCATTTGTTTGGTATTTCTACTATGCTATAATAAAAAATGAAAATAAAAAAGTTAACTTCTAAAACAAGAGTTGTATGTAGCGTTTTGTAAAAGACACCAAAAAGTGTACGCAAACAAATCTTACCTTTAAAATATTTACCTACAAAAATATTCACACACTTTACACGTGCTCACTTGTTGTTACCGAACTATCGAACTGAATGCCCTCTAGTAATAAAACGCTAATCTCTATCTCGTGTCTCTATTTTGAAGCAGTCGGCATAGAAGACGACTTTAGGAAAAAGACAAGATTTTTGAATGTGAACTTTAATATTTTTTCTGTTTAAACTACTTTTTATATACGAATAAAAGAACTTTCCATTGTTCAAAAATAATTAATTTTTTCAGTAGAAAGCTGCAAAAAAGAAGAATATAATAATTTAAATTAAAAAATTGCCTCTGGGGACATTTAGGTTACATATCGTCGCCTTCAGGAGAAAATTGCTTAACTCCATGTTGTAAAATTTTACAGGAGGAAGGAAAAACATATTAAAGGTGTATTGGTGTATCTCCACATTACCGCCAAAAAATTGTTTAATGGAAAATTACGTATCTCCAATATGTACTTTATGTTAATAAAAGTAACCTTAAATTATTCATGGTACCTTAACTTTACACACTATACAATCTTTCATACTTACATACAGAAAAAATAACTAGGCAATAACTTATACTTGTCAATGGCACTGATTTGTATATTGGAGTTAGGCATTATTCCCTGGACGCTCCTCCACGATTGGAGATACGTATATTTCTTTTTCTAAATTTAAAATTAACGGTTTATTTTAGGACTTCTGTAACTTGCATATAAATTAGTTACAGTTTTATCTAACAGATGCCACTAAAATACAATTTTAATGAAAATGTGGAGTTACGTGATTTTCTCCTGAAGGCGACGATATATAGAAACACAAAGTAATTAAAAAAAATATGATGGGTCCTAACAGGAAGGGGGTATTTAAACATAATAAATACAAAACTTATCAACAAAGGTCAAAAATAAAAATAAAATTAGCTGGGGACAGCAAATGTACTTTTAACGAAAATTTTCCCGTATACCTACCAAAGTAGTACAAGTGATTAAACAAAATCTAATTAAAATAACGTTTTTCTAAACTCAGTTTTTAACCAATTATTTAATTAAACCATTGACATTTTTTAAAGGTAATTATGAACTAAAAAATAACCCTTATTATGTACTGGTAGTTTCTGATATATTTATTAGACAAATGAAATGCCCCTTTGTTTGTTTCTGTTAAAAGTTAAAAATACTAAAACTTTAATCTATCTATAGATAGGATCTTATTCAAAAGAATTGATACATAAACTCACCAAAGTTTTGCTTTGAACGCGTTCCTCCAACTTTAAGTACCGACAGACAGCTGTTTCGATGTATGTGTCTCATCAGTGTCGGTCAACTGGGTGTAATGGAACACACCCAAAATAACGATAATTTAACGTGTATATAGCAGAATACCTTTTTAAAATCTTTTTGCTATTCTTTAATCAATTGAATTATGTGTTTGTTTTAGTAAAATGTGTAAAGAGCAAAGTAGGCTACTTTGCCGAACGCCTCCACGAAAGTATGGCCGGTTTGGGAACCAACGACAAAACTTTGATCCGCATCATCGTTTCCAGATCTGAAATCGATCTGGCTGATATTAAACAAGCCTTCATGGACAAATACGGAAAGACTTTGGAAAGTTGGATCACCGTAAGTACCGTTTTTAATTTGATGGTTTGCCTTACTTAAGCGGTCCTTGTACATAAATGTCGGCGAGATGTTTCCGGAAACTTATTTGAATATTTATCTGAGTCACAAAACCTTTTTTTTTAATTGGTTTTAATTTACTAAATCGATTAAGTTTCCGAAAATGCCTTTAATAACATTTGGGGTTTATTTATTAATTGGTGATGGGGGTAATATTGGGTAATTTTTATAACCATCTGTTCCATTAAATAATTTTTGTACACAATTTTTATACCTACTATACAATGAAAGGTATTTTTATTTAATTTTTACCACCAACGTACATTTTTATAGTTAATAACATGGGTCCATGGTTAATAAGATGCTGCGGACATATACAATCAATGATTATTATAATATATATTATATGGTGTGGGTGTAATCATTATATTTTATGGTGGTATACTGGGCACAAATAGATATTTATCAGATTTACTTAATGCAATAACAATTGAGGGCCTTAGAATAAAATGGGTACGAGTGCAGCTATTTTGTTAAGCAAAAAATACCCTGACCTGTTTTTACTTTTTAATTTTAATTTAATTACACTAGGCTAAATTAACTGTTTCTTAAGTAATACCACTCTGCAGTCTGTTGCTCCATCAGATCAGATTTTCAAGAAATTCTTACCCAAAAATGGAATACTACAGTTTTGTTCAATGTTTAAGGTATTTTATTATTACCAAACTGAAATAATATATTCTTAACAAGCTCGAGTGAAAAGTTTGCCACACGAGCTGAAGGAGAGTTAGAAGGTTTTTCGAGAGGGTATTATGTAATTTCAAACGTATTTCGGACTATACTCCCTAGTAGAAATTGTACGTAGAAACAACGTTTTTCCCACTTCAGAAAAAACCTAACTTTTTTGTATAATTTTATGTTGAAATGTCCCGGTTTATAACGTTACCTATATGACGTTAGTTTCTAATGTTATAAAATACGTGGGATTTACTTATTATAAAATGTTTAAGTAACGTTTTAACTACCTATTTTACACTTAAAACTATACATTTAAACATCGTTGTGCGTATACACTACAAATAACCAACGTTGTCTGAAACGCTAAAAAAACATAAAAAATTAATTTAATTGGAAGAAAGGGAGGTTAGATCGGTCTAACAGTTGTTTTATGTAGTAGGCGACTATAATGATGATCATCGAAACCGGTGATAAAATTAACTCTTTCACCGGTTTTAATACCTAATGAAATATAAGTAATTCCACATTAAAGAGTGATATTACGTAATAAGTAAGATAGTTTTTTTATACTTTTGGGTAAGAATATTTCAAAAACAGGACCTAATCAGATCTGGCGAACTTCTGGTGCCAAATGCCAACTTAGCGTACCAAAATACTTTAAAAAACATAATCACCATTTCCAGTCCAAATTGTTTTTCAAAATTTGTAGGTGATCGCGAGAGCCCTCGAGGGAAAACTTTTGGTCTTAAGTTCCTAAAAAGGAAGAGGGCACCAAAGTTAACAATTTTTTTTATTGATATGTTTGGGATCTACAGCTTTATTTACTTATTATTTAGCATTAATTTTTTTTTTTATAAAAAACACTATTTCCGATAAATTTAAAACGAGATAAAACCATTATTTTTTTTTAAAGATTAACTATGCTAGTTATTTTCGTTTACTTAGTTAACAAAAATAACTAGTTGTATATATGTAACTAAACCAAAACAAAAACAATGAAAAAAACGTTGTGTCTAAAGTCCTGAAGCGGGACTCAAGTTCGATTCCCCAACATTTTTTATTTTTATTAAATGAATTTATCGTAATTAATTTTTAAGACCACGAGCCGCAAGGCGAGTGGTTTTAAGTTAATGCCACGAGCGAAATTTCCAAGGAAAAATCTTGAGTAAATAAAAATCAAAAAAATTTTCAGGAAAAATTTTATCACGAGTGGTATTCGGCAAGACTATTTCACGAATATTTTTAACTGCTGATTCAATTTCTGTATGATTTTTTTGTCCAAAACGCATATTTTTTAACATTTTAATTTTACAATTAAAAACGTCAACAGTGACAACTTTTTTTTTTCGTAAGTAATATCATAAGGGCATCTAATTTTTCCGAAAAAAATCATAAAAACACGTTGCTAAGTAATATTTTAACAAGAAGCATGAGTGCTGGGTGCAACAAAAATTCGAGTCGAAGACGAGGATTTTTGCACCTGCACGAATGCATTTTGTTAAAAAATATTACTTAGAGCATTGTGTTTTTTCGATTTTTTTCACAGGAAAAATTAGATGCCCGAATGGTATTTGACAAGACTATTTCATGAGTAACAGTTAACAATTAAAATATAAATTGTAATTTTTGGTGACAACAGCTGTTAAGTTTTGCCGCGGGTAAACTGCTGACAGGTGCTGTCATACAGTTTTTTCACCTAGAAACCATTTGTAATTCAAAATTGCACGTTTGTGGTTGGTGGAAATTAAGACGAGGGAAATAGTCACCTAAATAGTAGTTTTATCGCTGCAAAACTGAAAAAACACTCATTTTCTGAAATCTGATTGGTCCATAAAGTAATGAGTGGAATAGTCGTATTAATACAATGTGGCTTTAAAAGCATTAATACTTAATTTTACATTCATATATATTTTTTTTTAATATAATTTGTAATTAAATGAATAACTATTCCTTTGTTGAAAAGTATTGGGTTGGGTTTTGGGTTGGTTGTTGTTTAGTTATGACGTCAGTCTGGATCGACCTTAAGTACCGCATCGGGACTGTAGACACAGCGTAAAAAAACTAAAAAATCGAGCTTTAACAATAGGCGGATAAAAATCATTAAACGTTGTTATCAAAAACAAAGATCAATATATTTTTTTAAATTATTTTTTATTAAAACATTTGATTTTAAAAACTACTTGTGGGAAAAGTTTACACTCACAATATATTTAACATTTTAAAATCTGATGGTTATAAAAATTACTAAATTTAAGGTAAATGGTAAATGGTATGTTTCCTTCACCTAAACCTATATGTCTTAATGTTAACAAATCTTTCAAATGCATGTCCATAGACTTACTAACTGGTTATCATATCCTTTGCAGGGCGACACGTCTGGCGACTACAAGAAAGTTCTCCTGGCCATTCAAGACTAATTGCACACCCTTTCTATTCAATTCACACTTTAACTGTACTTAAAACTGTACGCCTTTCACTAAACAAAATAAAAACAATTATATAAGCTTATCTTACTGCCATTAGACATTTACATGTAGTAGTATACATATACATTATTATACATACATCCAAAGATTTCTTTCTCTTTAACAAGAAAGAAACTAAATACATTTTATATTTTTTATATATTTGCAGGATGATGTTCCAAGTGAAATTAAATACGTCTTGAGAACCTTAGTCGCTATTGGTTAAATATTGTCCACTTACATGTTGCCCGATGGTTCAAAATTGCTGTCCCATCATTTTACATTATAAGATGTTCTTTTAGCTTAGTGGCCTTAAATTTCAGAGTTATATTTTATAATATAAAACAAAGAGTATTTAACGTTGTTGATTAATATATTTATAATATAATAGATATATATTATACAAATAATTCCCTAATTACGGTTTCATCGTGGTGTAGGCCGTTTTTCTTTTTTTTTCTTTTTTTTATTCCATTCACATCTTTTATATCTTTCGTATTTTGTAAGTGTTTATTATAAATGTGCTTTATTGGTGCTTAAAATAAAAGATATGTTTAAAATTGGCATTTTTTTTTCAAGTCCATTGTTTATCCCACTTCTTACTAAGAATTTCTTAGTTAGGTTTTCAGGATTTTCGTATAGGTAATATCAATAATATTAAAAAACTAAAGGGGTTTTTAATTTCCTGAGTAGAATTTTGTGATTGTGTAGGTGGTGTATATGGTCTTCCACAACTGACTTTAGGGTTTAAATGGCTTTATCTACGAAGTGTTTAATCCCTTATAGTAAAAATCTGCGGTCTAAAGTAAAAGGACCGTTAACTCACATTTTTTTATAAATATACTCTATAAAAAAAATTTAGTCAAAAATGACTAATTTAATAGTTATTAGTGGCTGATTTTTCACTTGTACCATGGTTAATCATGGAATACCGTGGTATCCCAAAATTTAACAGCCAATTCTTATGTAAAATTGTCCCTGGAATCCGAAAATATCGTCAAAAGTTAAAAAAGTGCAACAGTTTTTGAGATATAGTGAATTTTTCATTTAATATGGAATTGACTTTATCTCAAAAACTTCTCCACTTTCATAATTTTTGACGGTATTTTCGGATCCAGGGGAAAATTTTACATATAAATAAATATATTTTGTCTAAAAAATTTTTAGAGAGTAAGTTTTTGATATTAAAATCGTGAATAAATTTTGTAGTTTACTGTGCTTGGGCTTTAGTTAATATCATAACCGTAGACAATTCTAAAGTGAATTATGGAAAAATTCTGTACAGGGTGATCCAAAAGTCTCGCACCACATAGATCATATATCTTAAACTAAAGGCTCTCAGAAAGTTCTTTAAAAATTCTTTAAAAAAATATAAACAGGGAAACCTATTATTTTTAAGTTATGTACAATATGTAATAATAATAATAATAATAATAATAATAATAATAATAATAATGTTTTATTTTATGAGAAAATCCATTTAAGGATTTTTACTTTAACAACACGCATGTGTTTGACAACATGATGTGCCGAAAATTGATGATCACAGTTAATTGGTTAATATATTTTTAATCATTTTCTGGGATTTCTGGGGGTCTGTACAATCTACAATTTGCTTGGAACACCCTGTATAATTTTATTATGCTCTATCTCCTTAATGTAAGGATAAATCCATTTGGTTATTATTATAAAATTATATATGGGTAGGTAGGTACAAACGCTTCTTAATTTTCTCTATAACTAACTGCACTTGTAATGTAATTATAATTAATTATGTACCTGTATATGGGAAATATGCTTGTGTCGCACATATTTATTATTTAATATACAAACTTTGGGCTTTTTTATGATGTATATAATTTACAGGGTGACACCTCTGGAGACTACAAAAGGGTGCTTCTTACAATTGTCAGCGTATAATGTTAGTGGAGTATATAATTTGTATATTATTCTTAATTAAATTAAATTTTACAGTACACACAATGTTTTACATGTAAATATTTGAGTACAGTTTAGTATGATTTGAATGATCCTTCATACATTGTTGTGTTTTTTGCTTGTAGATATTTTAGATTTTTGAATTGAAATTTAAAATGTTGTAATATAAAATTTTTATTATTTTTTTATTTTTTAGGGTGAATCTTCTGGAGACTTTAGAAATGTATTGATTACTCTTGCTTCTGTTTGAAAATATCTAAATGTTATGTTATTCTTTTAAAATATATATAAAACTGCTTGGATGTTTATGTGAATATAAGTTATAAAATAAAATATTTTATTGAGTTCTTATTTTTTTTATTATAACTCTTAAGTATATTAAGTACGTATACTTTACAGTCAGAATAAAATCATATAAAATTTGTATAAATAAACTGTGCTTAGTTTTGTAAACAGTTAATTTTAAAACAGAACTTGTTTTAAAATAGTGTTTACAAAAATTAAGATAAATGCAATAATATCAAACTTTATGTATACAGGTTAACTATACAGATTGTCTCATAACTAATGGACAAAACAACGACTGAAGAAATAGGAGGTCCACATGGGCGCCGGAAGGAATTTGTCTAGGGGGGGCTTTAAAGTTTTTTACAATTTTGATAGATGTTATTTATAATCAAGTTGTACTGTAGAAGTTCACATCCCAAATAGCATTTTCATTAGAGCTTCGCGACTCCCGACCAAATTTGTACTAGAACCAACGACGCGTCGGTCATTGTGCAAATCAAAGTTGTTTTCGAACTTCTAATATAAAGTTGCAAAAAGTCGTCCAGACGACGACTGCACAACGTCTGCGACTATAACACCTATAGAGTATTATAATCTGTCCACTGATGACGTCCGCGCAACGTTTAAATATATGTAGGAAATATTACTGGAGTACGGCAACGATGGTCCGACGTTGGCTTCTTTCCCTCGAAGGCAACGTTGTGAAGTAGTGCAAATGGGACGTCGGACTGTAGGTCAAAAATGTGTTGTTTTGTTTATTTTTCTATGGTTGAAAGTGAGGTTATAGCCTAGACCTAGGGGTTATAGTTGCGTTGCGTTTTTCTATCTTGCGTTTGTTGCAGAGACAAGTTGTCTATATATGGGTCTATGGGCCAATATAAAACCCCATTTTCCTCCCATTGATGGGGTACCGGCTCGACTTCCCCTAGATCTTTTATTTGAACAAATGATGTTCGCCCATTTTTTGTGCAAAACAGACACAGCCAACAAAGAATTAATCAACAAACAAGTCACCATCCAAAATAAGTAAGGTTAGAAATAAGGAAGCCTTATTTAAGAAGGTTACTATTTTTAGTCATGTGATAGTTGTGTCTACAGACCCGAAACGACGTCGGACCGACGTAGTAATGTAATACGAAGGGTGCACCGCGGTCGGAAATGGTGCGCGCTTTAAGACTTGGTTGTCCTCTTGGTCCAAATAAGTAATGAAACAGTAAAAATTTATAGACACTTCGTCGGAGTACGGTTAAATATCTGGAGTTTCCCAACTACGCCATTTTTATATCATCCATATTTGCAACTCGAGTAATGATCATCACAAATATTCACTTTTACCCATTGAATGTTTAAAATAAAGTTAAAAATTATGTCTCGTAGTTTTTAGTTAATTCTTAAAGATGTTTTGGTGCATTTTCACATTGATATCTGCAGAAAAAAAATATGTTTATTTTTTTTTCTTCCGAAAAAAATTGTTAATTTAAATATTTCTTAGAGGGCATTAATTTTTTTCGATCCACCTCGGTCACATTCATCAGTAAAGTGAGCTGTGTTTGTATTTTTCAAGAATCTCTCTACGATACAATTCCATTCTTAACGAAAATAATATCTATAAATTAGTTAGTGTAAGCGACATGATTGTTTCGTTAGTATGGATGATTGTTTGATGCCATGATGCCATCTGTTGGGTAAAATATATTCGTACTCTATGATTACACAATGTTAATCAAGAGGGCGCTAATCACTAGCGGCCAGTGTTAGAAAGGTCGTCCCGAGTATATTGTTTTGGAACAAGACGACGTCGGGAGAATCGTCCAAACCGACGTTGAATTTAGTAAGGAATTCTTTCTTAATCCGACGTCGCGTCCGACGTCGTACCGACCAGGATTTTTATTCCCCATTTTGGTGCAGATTCAAGTAAATACGTAGTCGCGCAGACGTTGTGTACCGACGTCGGGTTGTTATAAGCGACGTTGGCCGGACGTCCAAATGCTATTTGGGATTAAACTTAAGTCAAATAAAATATCATCTTTATAGGTATGTATATTTACCTATTTATTTATATTGGTACATATTGCAAAAAATAGATCACAGTTTTTTGGTAAATATAAAAATATAAAAAAATTGTATCGCCGAGGAATCTCCTCTAGTAGTACAGCCGTCTTATGTATACGCTATACAAATTATGATAAATTAAAATATAACAAAAAAATTAAATACAAACATGAGTAATATTTTAAAAATAAGTTATAACAATAACAAAAACTTAAACATAAAAAAATGTGGTTGCACTGTAGCGACTTTTTTAGGTAATACATATCGATGTTATGCTATAGCATGACATAGAGTAGTAATAACAGGATAATTATAAGCAATTTTTGTGTGTAACACGTCTTATTTTTCGTTTTGCAACAGGCCTATTAGGTATTATGGTTATTTATAATATTATACAATTTATGGAGTACCGGAATTTCTGGGTATGAATTTCCAGGGGGGGGCCCGGGCCCCCCCCTGCCCCTATGTAGCGGCGCCCATGGAGGTCCATGTCAATAAATACAAATATTCCTTGGTAAAATGTTAATAATACACGAGATACAGGGCTATAAATGTGACGTTATTTTTGAAAATTTGTAATATTTGGAGAACAATCAGTTTTTAAGGACCAAAAAATACAAATTTGAAATCATTTTTTGATGAAATTGAGAAAAAAAAGAAAAACGTTTTTTACAATACATTAATGTCCCGGTTTCTAAAGTTAGCATACTAACGTCAGTTAGTAATGTTAGCATCCCAATAAACAATTTTTACCACTTATGGTAACGATAAGCTATATTTATTTATTCATTTATTTAATACATCATCTTCCAGTCCTTGGACCAATAACAAGATGAGAGAATTTTAACAAGTATAACATATTTAGCATTATACATATAAAGGTTATATAAAATTATCAAAGTACCTATATAAGATCATAACTAGGTTTTATAAAATCACAGATAAGATATAAGATTACAGTAACCTTATATGACATTATAAAACCTTTTTATACTCTTATATATCTTAGATACGGCAGTTTTGCTTAGCAGGGCAGTTTATACACCTGCTAAGCAAAACTGCCATATCTAAAATATTAAGTAATAAAGGACAAAAGATAATTGATAATGATCTTTGATCCTACAATATAGCTTAGCTTAGCAGGGCAAAATAGTAATCGTTAATTAGAGTTATATAAGTTTATAAAAGATATTGTTTCTTTCATTTGTTTTAATACAAATTTTGAGTTCATAATTGAATCGGTGAGAATACCCAGTA